ACGTCCCACCGTCCCGCCTGTGGATTCAGGATGAAGGGGAAAGCGTTTTGGGATTTCATTTCCAGGAGAATTATTTCACCCCCTTCGAAAACTGAGGGTGACTTGTGTGGATGGTGAGAGGTGATGGGGAGCCTCTTGGGAGGAGGTGTTGTTGACTGGAGTCGGATGGAGCCTCGGGCGCTCTCCGTGGTACTGGATTGACAGTCGCTGGTAAGAGACTAACAAAGGATTCTCGTCTGTTCAACTGCACAAAGCGCATCACAAGCTTATCCCCCCCCCTCTCTCTATCTCTCTATCTCTCTCTTTCTCTCTCTCAAACCTCGCTGATTGATTCCCGTCTCGTGTCACTGCACGAAAACGTGACCGCAGCGCAAGCGGTTCGGGACCACCTCCCCTGTCCTCTCAGCTCCTTGACCAGCTCCACCGCTTGTTCCCTGAGCCGCACACAGAACACGCCACGTCCCATTTAGAGGACAGTGTGGGTTTTGTTGGGTTACAATCCAAGCGCAGGCGACCCAAGTATATCGAGTATCCCAACGTGACAGAAGCACCTCACAAGGCTGGCTTGATACCAGCTTCGTACATATTTAACTAAATCATTACTTATTTACCCTATTTTTGTTCACCAAGGTTCAAACTTGTCAAGGCAGAAGCTGTCTGATACTCTCCGATTGCAAAGGGATTATAAAGCATCACAGATAAATAATAATAATAATAATCCTTGCATTTGATATAGCGCTTTTCACGTCGGGAGGACGTCCCAAAGCGCTTCACAGAACACACTGTAAAGTGAATTGACTGTATATTTGTGGGCAAATGCGGCAGCCAATTGCGCACAGCGTGTGGAGTAAGGAAACTTGCCCAAGGTTTCGCCCTCTGCCTGGAATTGAACTCAGGTCTCTCGCTTGCAAGGCGAGTGCTCTAACCACTGAGCTACAGAACTCCACGGCTTTTGTAGGGTCTCAGAGTGTCTCACAGGATTTGCTGTAAGCTGTAGTGACAGGAAATAGTGACTATTTTGTAGAGAAGCAGCCAATTTGCTCACGCCAATGTCTTTCAAATCGCCATGAAGTGAATGACCAATTTTATCTGAACGTGTGTTAACCAGAACAAAAGAAGTAAATCTAGACCCAGGTGGAATTTCTCTACGCAGCTCTGTTATTGGAACCTTTTCACATACAGTTTTCCAGACACAGTATTCAAGTACTGTATTCATTATTAACCATCTGATTTTATGTGGCGTCACTGGATATAGCTGTCCTGTTCCAGATTATGCTAATGTATCATTCTAGAGAATTGGGTCATGTTGCTTGGAAATTTAGTGTTCTTAGCATGAAAAGCTACAATAGACAGACCTTCAGTGATAGGTAAAAGAGATGAGTTTGATAAGCTATGGTAGATTTGATAGAAAGCTAGAGATTAAGAGAGACAGAAAAGGACACAGAGAAGAATAAAGAGAAAAGAGAGGAAAGATAGATGGACAGATACAAATGTACAGTTATGTAGACAGACAATGAAGTAGAGAGAGGTAGATAAGTAGAGATAGACAGACAGGTTAAGTTAATGGGGAGGAAGACAGGTATATAGATAAGATGGCTAACTTGAGGATATGTGAAAAAAAGGAATACCTTTCTGGATTTATTTCTGTCTAGCAGGAAAGTAGAAATTTAGCAGTTTATTATCTCACTTGAGATGTGTTACAGCTTTCGCAATATTATTCTTTTTTCAAGAATACAGGCAAAACTTGCTACATCAATTATTTTCTTGCCTGTGCAATTACACTGAGCCCTTAGGGCAATGAAGCCAGATAATTTTCCAAGTTTCTTTTTTTTAAAAATAAATTGCTTAAAAACTGACTCCTGATAAATTTAAAAATATCATTTGACAGACCAGATCTCGAATTAATTTAAGAGTCAAATCATAGCTACCATCTCAGACAGACAATTATTCACTTCCAATTCAAATTATATTATTGGCGCTAATGAAAATCCTTTAGTGGGCATTAACAAGTGTAAACTATGGTATTGAGAAAGGAAATGGTGAATTATTGCTTCCCCAGACAACTTGCACATGGGCTGGCATCTCGGAGTAATTAACAATGGCACAGTTTGACACGGAGCTATTCCCTTGGTCTAATATCTCAGCCAATAAACTATGTAGTATTCCTATAATTCCAACTGTGAAACATAGCCGAAGTTTCATTATTGAGGTCAGATGGCAAAGGCTGGGTGTAAGGGAGAGAGAGCTAAGCATGGACTGTTAGTGAATTCTGAATGTTCACATTTAGTGGCAGAATCAATCAATCGCTTTCATGAAATTAGATTAGGATTCAACTACCTTCTTAAGTAAGGCTTGTGATAAGAGCAAAAAAAGCTGTAAACCACTTGACTAATGTGAAAAGGCTACCCAGAACAGCAATGGAGTGCGTACTGAGCATCGGCAAGTTGAGAGGATGGAAATGCATGAAGAGCGAGTTCTGGCTGTATTGTGTGCCAAAGAGCTACATCAAAAGTACTCAAGGCTGTCAGTAGATGTGTGATGTGGGGAATGGTATTGAATAAGAATTCTGTATTGCATCAATACCAAATTCAATGCAGGATCATATATTATAATATTGCATGTTTGTAATGCAGTGAATGTTATAACCATGGAAAAAATTGCAAAATCATTGAAAAATTGGCCATTATCAATATCCATGCAAATGAGCATCTAAGGTAAGTACAACAAGATTACCAGCAAGAAACAATTACAAAGACAAAATCATCATAATTACTCAGGATGCGATTAATCCCTATGGTTTCTAAGGATTTGAATTCATAAATTACTCTGCATTTTTCCCTGCATTGGTACATTGCTTCAGAATGAAATTGATGTGCTCCCAAAGGGAAATGGTAGGCCAGAGTAACAGGACTGAACGACGGAAGGTAGATATAGTCATTGGGAAGAGATTTTAGACTAAGCCAGGCCTTGCCTCAGTCCCTGCCACTGTTAAGCACTCCAAGATGCTATCCTGCATGAAAGGCACTGTGTAAGTGCAAGTTGTGGCTGTTCTTTCCTGTCCAAGGCACTATCACAAAACCATCAGCACAAAAAAAACTGTGCAACAAAATTGCGACTCACCTGTTTTCTTGCCTTGAACATCTCTTGAACGTTTAATAACTATGCATGACATCTTTGGGTGAGGATGTCACTTCACTGAAGTTTATCCCCAAATGCAATGCAACCCAAATGTTGGAAACTTTTCAATAGTGCTACCACACAGCAAGCAAGCATTGATTACCTTCATAATAGTTGTGTGTAACACTACTGCAACACAAGATGAATTGGGGCAAGTCAGCTTCTCTGTGATTAATGGGGAGATTAGCTTTTACTCATCTCTTGAAAAGTTTAATTTATTACTAAACATTCTGTTTTACTTGTTCTAAAAATAAAAGAACACTTAAGCAGATGGCCGTTGTCTGCAACCAGTCACATTTATTAGACTTTGGAAGGCATTGCATTGGATTATTTGAAATTAATGCAGTTTCAACAAAGATCGCATGTAATTCAACCTATTAAATAAATATTTCAGGCATGTGTACAGGGTTCATGGCAGTAGAAACCGAGAGAAAAAAACTGAAGCAAATGCATAAGAAGGCAATTCCAGTGCAAACACTGATGGTAATTCAAATGCAGAACAAGTTACAAGGAAGGATAACAGAAGTCACAATTCTGCACTTATTCGCGATGCAGCTTGATCTGTAAATGAGAAGGTGGTAGGGTGACTATTCTGAAAGTATATGAGATCAAATGGTCAAAGGCTTTCTTCATCTGTGATGATCCCATTACCTGATGATCTTTCAGCCTCCTTCCTGCTGCATAGCCTTGGTAGAGTCAGATATTATGGGCCCTTCAGTCATACTAATCCTAATAAGGCTGTTAGAAAAAACGTTTCAATCAAGCACAACTACTGTTTGCAACCAGAGTGGTGTTTATTAAATTCAAGGATCCATTCAAGTTCCCGATGGGCATGGGCAAGTAAGTACAATTCATAGATCCACCAACAAAACAAGACTACCAGTTTATAAGTCTTCCTTGAGGTCTTCACTACGGAGGCTTCCTTCAATGTTTAAGCTTTCAGTCTTCCTTCAACCGCAGCTACCTTCTAGTTTTCAGTCTTCCATCACCAGTAGATATTGTCTTGGAGACCCGGTCTCGGAGGGACCCCGAACAAAGGGTTGAATGGACTTTTATGCTCACTTACATCCAATTATTATTCAGACATTGGATCACATGGCCCAAATCACATTGGGTTCACGTGAACATCTCATGGTGTGTAGGTGCAGCAGCAACCACATATTGTCCTTGAGACACTCACGTTATCTCGAGCGTACGTGCAGTGCAGCAGTACACATCTTGTCCTTGAGACACTCACGTGATCTTGAGGGTCAATCATGGGTTTCAGTCTGGTTGCCCCATACTTAACTTAAAAGTTAACCTGTTCGCAACATCTATCATGATTCTAATATTATACAAAAAATATAAATTCTAACAAGGCTCACAAGCACCTCACAAAATCTGGGCTTCTTTATTTTCCAACTAATTTTAATCAGTATTGATTAAAATAAATTAAAATAATCAATCATCATATTATAATATTATCATAATAATAATCCCTAATTACAAATCTGCCTGTAAATTGGTTATTTCCTCATTGATGATCAAATGGATGCCTGGGAAGAAATAAAAGTAAAAGCTTTAGGGGTGTTTTGAGAGGTTGAGGCCAATAGTTGTTGGAATAGTACAAAAGATCCTCTCTGCACCTTGCCTGTTCTTCACCTCACTCAAAACTACTGGCGCAAAGCAGAAATGTATTCTGTCAGCCCAGAACTACTATTGCTTACCTGTACCAGAACACACACTTCAATAGTAGAAGGCATAACAACAAACATCATCCCACTATTAATTGCCAGGTAATTAAATCAACTGTTAATATGCATTTCAGCACACGTACAAAGATGCTTGATTTCAGCAGTTTACCAACTGGGGTTTATTCTGAAAATTGTCATGACCAAAAGATTTTAAACAATTTACAATTTGTACATTAATATGTTTGGTGGAAAACTACTATCTGGTTGTGGTGTCGGTTTGAAACTAATCAGAAACATATCCGTGCTGTTCTCTTATGTCTCACAGGCAGAGCATGATGACAAAGGGGATATTAGATGAACCTATTGCGATTTTTCAGTCAAGGCATATAGTTGCAGTGAGTGGCAATTCTGCAGGAAAGGGTCACATGCTGAACCCAAAACGATTTCTGTGAATTCAGAATGAATGGCATCTTCAGAGGGAAAAGCACCAGACTCGATGGGCTGAACGGCCCGTTTCTGTACTGTTATGTTCTGTGATATCTATTTTCAGAAATGGCAATCAGTGCTGCATTCCACCCTGCAAAGCCCAGCAACTACATTTGACAGCAGTTCTCTGTAAGTCGCTTTGCGATGTTATAAGGCTTAAGCTATGCAAGTGCAAGAGTTAATTATTTCATCAGCTAACTCTTCAGTGTAATTTGTGAAATTATTCTCACTTTGTTAAAGCTGACAGTAGTTTTGCAACTTCCATCAGGCTAATCCTGAAAATATTGTTGAAAGTGCCCAGTTCCCTTCCCTTGGTCAAGTACAGCTGCAGCTTCATAATGCTGGCACAGAGCATCAGACAGCAACACTCTAGGTTGTTGTGCACACAGGCTGCTACTGCTCTGGCGAGGGACAGAATCACAAGAGCTTAGTGTGCGCAGATCACTTCAACAAGTCCTGTACACATATGTTCAACTAACTTATTGGTGTATAAATCAATCAAACAGCACAATGAGAGCAGTGTTAAAGAGGACTTTTACGATGATACAGTAAATTGTTATAATGTGATGGGGACTGATAAACATGAGTAAATCTATTCTCAAAAGCCTAGTCTTCTTGACGTTTGAGCTCCTGCAATGATTAGGAGAAAAGGTTAATTTGGAAGGAGCAAGGGGAATGATTCCTGAAGTGAGGCCTGTCAGTGTGGACTGTTACGTGTTTGCTTTTAATTAAGCTAATTTGACACATAAAATCAAAAGTTTCAACCAAATGCTGTTATTGGACTTAAAAAATACACAAATGTGTTGATTTTGATTCTGGATTTGTGCAGGTTTGTCAATCAACATCTGCCAACATTGTCACCTTTACTCTAACTCAGAGGCAGCAATCAAAGTAAATCTGATTCCTGCATCACTGCTTGTTTCTATTAAAACTCTGGCTTGTACGAAAACACAGTGGGATCCAGTGAGCGAGTGGGAGCGTTATGTGGATGGATATCTTCATCATCAAAAGAATGTCCTGTAACAATATTAAAAAAAGGCATGTTAACTAGATTTCCAATTTTTCTTGGCATGTTTCCTTCATAAAAGGATTTTGCTTTGGTGCTTCCTGGAAGGGAACCCATTCTCAAGTTGCTGCCTATGGGCTGGAGCCAGGGCTATGCTGTGAGTCTGATTCTGAATGATTAGCTCTCCCCATCTTCATTCCCTTCCTCTCATAAGATCAGTTCGGCTGAAAAGGCACTTCAAGCCATCTGATCTCATCCCTCCAGAAAACCCGACTGTTCTCCCATCAAGCTCTTTGGGTCACCAATACACCATCAAATTTCAATACGATGTTCAGTAGTGTGGCATTCAAATTAATATTTGACCCAGAAACGTCAAATAATATCATGTTTATATATGTTTTAAAAGGGTTAAAAAAATACACAAAAAATTAAATATACTTGCTGTAAATAACTATCTAATTGTGATTTCAGTACTGTAAAACAATCCTAAATTTATTGATAAATAAAAAATATATTAAGTGTCCTTTACAGTAATGCTCTAAGGACCATTATGTAACATTGGCAAATAGAGGTCAGAATGAACCTTGTATTAGAATTTACTATTTGATCAGAAATATATTATACAGCCTGTGCAATGTTGTACAACTCTTGATGGGATGTGAATACATTTAGAAATGTTATGTAGCTAACAAGGCAAGAAACCTCAAAAACACAAACAGTGGGTTTAACATGAAAGTCCCAGCCATGAGGATGTAATGCATGACATATCAAATGCCTTTCAGTTCCTCTGAGCAGCAGGTTGTGCCCTTAGGCTATGCTTCTCTTGTATTCCTTTGAGAGGGTTCTGGACTCAGAAGATAAGTAATATTGAACAGGTTTATGTATCTTCAAGTCTGTAAAAATAAACTGCTCATTTAATGCACTGAAATTAGAAACCAGAGCAAGAAAACTGAATGTGTGTCAGTGCCAAAGGAACTCAATCTACTGGCAATGGATCCCTGTCTCTCCACCTTAACCCTCCCTCCATGCTTACCACATATCTTTTCCCTCCATATACCCCCACTCGGGTTCCCAGTCAGCTGTGTGAAGCTTTGAGATGTGCTCCTGACATGAAAAGTGCTGTATAAATGTAAATCATGATTGTAAATGTAAAGTGGATACTGGAATATTCACGTGATTATTATGTCGTGAAATTTCTGAAACATGCAGCTCAGCTAAAGGTGGTACAGTAGATTTCTCCATTCACCCAAAGGAGATTTGGACAGGTATCCTCTGATGGTTCTCCTGGTTAAAAGCAGTGCCCATTTTAGTATTCATCGGAAGGTCCCAATCTAATGATCTAAGTCATCTGATGCAAGCCAGAGCAATGGTAATCAGTGTTGGACTCCCTGCAACAAGCTTTAAGCTTTTTAGCACCTTGGGACATCCTCTCGATGTGAAAGGCGCTATACAAATGTAATTTTGTTGTTGGTTAAAGCCCTGAAGAATGGGAAATGAGGGGACAACGGCCACGACTCCTTGCTATTCAATAACCTCCCAGCCCCCCACACCCTCCAAAAATACACGTGTGTGTGGACGTTAGGTCAGGACAGCATTGACTCCATTGAGATCCCCTCAGAAAGGACTGTCTGGCTTCCCATATGAGGAACTGGCCTTGGTACTGAGGTATCAGAGGACAGATGGAAGCAGCAGGGTTGTCCGCCTTCAGGAGAGGAAGCAAGGAAAGCGAGCCTCTGACCTAGGAATTTAACTATGACAGATCTGTAACGGTCCACAAGGGAGACTGTCAACATAAATCAATTTCCCTACAATTCTGCATTACAGGACAATACTATAATGAAGGGCTGACAGTCAGAGCACATACAGAACACTCTCTGGAAAAGGTAAAAGTTACATATTGTAAAACTATCATTTAGTTGAAATATCACTTATCTAGTGCCTGGGACCTGCCTGCTCCAGTGACTGCACTGATGGGAGGAATCGCTTGAGATCTGGCGTTGGCTGCACTGATTTTAATGGAGGCAGGATCTTCGGACAGACCTGAGAGTCAGCCAACCCTGTTGGTCATTTGTTTTGCGGCTGCTTCTAGGACATTACTGTATCAATTTGGCTGTGGCATTTGCCTATAAACCATTACACTTCACTATGTCACGTGAAGCACTTTGGGATGCCTTCCCGACATGAACAGCTCTATGCCAAATGCAAGGATTATTATTGGGATTATTATTGTGCTTTTCCAGGGTCAGGGAGCTTCTGATCATAGGCCAACTGTTCTCAAGCTCTTGCTATTAAACTCAACAGAGATACTTGGAAAGCGCTTGGGTCCCTTCCATTGGAAATATCACCAGTGGTGAGGAATGCGGGAAATGTGTCCCATATATTGTAGAGAACCATGAACCCATTGTTAAAAGTGAACCATATTCATATACGTATAAATAGACTTTCTTGGCTCTATGCCTAAGTGAACGACTTTGAAAGAAAGTACTTTGCATTAAACAGCTCTGTAAATTAGGTGTGAGCCACTCAAGAAACAATTATATTAGGTTTGAATAATGGAGTCTAAATAGCGAAATTTCTGAATGGATTTCTTCATGCAAAATCCTATTAGGTTTCATGTCCAGTAAATTGTTGAGAATACTGCACTGGCTACTTCCTCATTTGCAGGACGTGAATTTTAAAAAATCCTGCATTTGACATAATACTTTTCACATTGGGAGGACATCTCAAAGCGCTTTGCAATATTTACTCTAAAGTGTAGAGTCTGTGTGTTTTCTATGCAAACACAGCAGCCAAATTTGCCCGGCAATGTCCCACAAACAGAAATGAATGACCATTTTTTTGGGGTGGGTGAATTGTTAGCCAGGGTACCAGAAGAAACTCCTTGTCTTGTCGAAAAGTGCTATGGGATCTTTAACGTCCATCTGAAAAAGCAGGATTCCTTATGAAGCAATTGTATTAAGGAAAAAGTGTCCCAACATCCAATCCAATGGAATACTCTTAACCAGGTCCAGAAAGAACTGAAGGCATTTTGACGTACTAAAAATGAAGATGCAGATGAGACAAGCACAGACACATGTCCTCTAAAGCTACATGATCTCTTCAAAAGCAGTCCATGCCAAAGCTCAGCTGAGTTCAGTTACCATTGGAGTTTTACGCTCAGGCTACAGCTGCAGGAGGTACCCCTCTCTGTGTACTGGCGCGCTGCCTTCGTCAGTCCTCCTGCTTGCACTGAGATTGGCAGATGCTGATGAAGCTGCCTTGGGGCTACATATAGAATGGAACAGCATTACTCAGTGCAACCCAATGCTATCAGAAATTCCCCTACCCTCCGAGAGACACAGTCGCCTTTATCTACTTCCTAAAATATTTGCCCAACGCATCAATCATTTATTGCAGGATGGTTTACACTGGCTGCTGTTACCCATGCTGGAGTCCAGGGGAAGAACTAACTCTCTGCAACATGCGCTTTCTTGACTTTAACATGCGCTTTCTTGACTGCAACGCTTCTGAGTTGTTTTTGCAACAAGGCATTTAAGCACCCAAAGTGACTGTGAACTCCTGTGGTCGTATTAATCCTCTTCATTTATTCCCATGAAATATATGCAACACTTCCAATGTCTTGACAAGTGAGCCTATTTGCCTTTGGGAGGGTTGGGGGGTGGGAGATAAGTGTCCAGTATGGGAAGTGGCCAAATAAAAATACAATTGTGAGATAGTTGTGAGTTCAAGCCCCACAATCAGGGCTTGGTGAGCACACACAGACTAGGCTGACACCCCAAACGTAGTGCTGGGGAGCATGATCGCACTGTCAGAGGTGCCGTTATTCAGATGAGAAATTAAACCAAGGTCCTGTCTGCTGGTTCGGGTGGAGGTAAAAATCCTGTAACGCATTTAAAAAGAGACGGGAATTTCTCCTGGTGTCTTGGCCAACAATTCCTGAGTCATTCACTTCACAGCTGCTTGTGGAACATTAGCCGCTACATTTTACAATAAATCCTATAAAGGGCTTCAATGACATTGTGCAAGAATTAATATAAGGAACACTACGATAAATTCTCGATCAAGCGGTTTCTGTTTATATCGTGTCGTACAATGGCACGAGTCATATTGAAATGTCATTTCAGCATGAGGTGAGCATGTCTTGAAGTCTAACCGTCTTTTCTTTTTGTTCTCCAGTTACAAAGGAAAAGTTTGAATGGTTTCTCATGAAGGCAGTGGTTGCCCCCTTAAGTGCTAAGGGGTAAATATCCAAATCCACTCCCTCACCTTTGCTGCAAGACCTATTTTACCATTTTGCTTCCTCCACACCTCCAGCTCCTCTTCCAGCTGGAGCTTTACGATGTCCAAGAAGCACTTTGAGATGTCCTCCCAATATGAATATAAATAATAATATAAATATCAAACTATCGTTGAATATAATATAAATATCAATGTAAAACTATTGTTGTTTTTACAGTGTCTCCCTATTCAGCTGAACTTCCAGTCAAGCCAGACCACTAAAAGAACAAGATGTGTCAAATAAATGATTCTCCAAGGAATCAACTGAATTATTACTGAAGCCTTATTACTGAAGCCTCAATTTGCCTGAAGTAACTAGTGTCTAAGTTCCCAGGAAGAACACTTATGTTATAGAACAGTGAGGCTGTGTTTATATATTGGATACTCAATGAATTTATACTGCAGTCTCTCATAGTGATTGATGGAGCCTTGCTTCTAAAGGTGCTCTGACCAGCAGAGCTCCACAAATCATGCCGTACTTTGATTCAACTGCTTAGCAATCCACAGCAAAATAAACTGGATGTGAGGGGATTGCTTATCCGATACCCCCTGGTCCCCTGAAGCCTCTTTGCTGCTTTGATGGACAAAGCATAAGCGTTCAAGGGACCATTAATGTGATGACATTATTATATATAAGAAATAAACTAGCTTTCCATTGTGGAGCATGTACTGAATTCTGAGAGCAGGGGGGAGTTTTTTTTAAACAAATTTGGCCAACATGTTGAGGAGCGGGGAATATAAATGAGGCTGATTGAACCTCCTTCATTCCCGACGAATATAGTTACTGGTTAAGCAGATACATATCAAAACTCTTCACTTCCAAGTGCGCTCACCAATGAATTCATGAGTTTCCTGTTCACAGGCATATGTAAGTTAATGACACCTCTGCGCAAATACTGACCTGGTCTCAACACCTCTTCACTTGTAATAAGAGGGTACATTTCCTGGACGCAAGTCCAATTTACAAGTTTAGTGAGAGAGAGAGTGTATGGAAGAATGACAGCGTAGAAGAATAAAGTGCTTCTCCTCACAGAGGTGGAACATGGGTAGATTCCAGCAATTTCACAATGTGCTAAGTTTCATCTTAACAGGGAGGAGGACAAACAATGATCAGGAGTGCTCTACAGAAAGGAGAATAGAGTAGACACCAAGCACTGAATAGCCTCTGTGACCATGGAGGCAAGTCACCCGAAGGCAGCACTATCAGAGGATGAGCTGGGCTCTGACCTGAGAAATGCTGCTGGGTGGAACAACGTAAACAAAATGGAAACAAATTGCAAATAATTTAACAATTTGTTGAGAGATTATCGCAATGTTGTTTCGCTAAATACGTAGAATGGTACAAAAAAAGCTATGATTTATTTCTAACTCCCAGCCCTGTCAGTAAACTTACACTTCATCTTCATATTCCTTTGGTGGGGACACAGCAATAACAAGGTCGATCCAGTCCTGTAACACAAGGAGCACATTATGTTTACATTATGAACCAACCTTGCTCATCTTCCAACACAGCTATGCTCCTTGCGAGCTTACCATAAACTGCACTGCTGTTCACAGGCTGGGAGCAGAGGTCAGAATCGCTCCCTGGAGATATGTAATTTTAGTTATTATAATTTTGTAACTTAGTTATCGTTTTAACAAGCTCGAGTCCAATTACATCCTGTCCTGTTTCTTAGCTTCTCTCGCTGGTGAGCAAGTTAAAGGGGAAATCGACTGACTGACAAAATATGGATTGCAGGTGCACAAAGTGCCACTAAACTGATCAGCTTTTATTGCTGTTTGAAAGACAAAATGCATCAAAATACTTTACAATAATCAGTCTCAAATGTTGTGACTGTTTTTCTAGCCAAATGCAGCAGTTAATTTGTATGCACAAACAGCAGGAGATGAATGACCAGTTTATAATATAAAAATAATAATCTTTGCATTTGATATAGCACTTTTTATGTCTTTAGACGACTCCAAGAATATACTGTAAAGTGAATTAACTGTATATTTGTGGGCGGAACGCAGCAGCCAATTGCGCACAGCAGTGTCCCACAAATAGTCGTGGATTGAAGTGACCAATTTTATTATTGTTTTCTTTTCTTGAGGGATTATTATCAGGCGTGTGGAGTAAGGAAACTTGCCCAAGGTTTTGCCCTGCCGGGTCTCTCGCTTGCGAGGTGAGTGCTCTAACCACTGAGCTACAGGACTACTTTATCTGTTTGATTGTTGGCCAGGACACCAGGAGAAACTCTCTGCTCTTTTTGCAGTAATGGCACAGGATATTTAACATCCACCTGACAAACTAGCAGACGGGATCTCGATTTAATGCTCAGTTGAAGGGTGTGCAAACGTTCTTCTATAAATACATAGTTATTACTCTTTAAATTCAATCCTGTGCAGCGCTTAAGCCGTTTTGATGATTGAGGCGATGTATTAAATTTTTAAAAATATTGTTGTATGATTAGAACCATGTGAGAGAAAAAGCAGCTATCTTATACTTCTGGGCAAGAATACAAACCAGGTCCCAAAAGTGAAAGTTTCCAAACCCACCATATCAGCTAGTCTCCCCTGCCACTGTTTACAATATACTATAATCTGTCTGTCTCCTTCACCAAGACAGCTCATGACGATGTAGTGGACAGAGAGGAAGAAGTAAAGGAAGGAAATAGTTTACAGATTGGATAATGATTTAATACAGAAGATGAATTTTAAATCTGATCACAATATCAGCTCTGAATTCTGATGAGCAATTCACTTCTCGAAAAGATGCCAGTTGTCCTTTCCTGACCCCTGTTCGCAGAGTAGCTTCGGCTTGGAATTAATAATAATAAAAAATATTCCTTACATTTGATATAGAACCTTTCACGTTGTCTTAAAGCGCTTCACAGGATATACTGTAAAGTGTAGTCACTGTGTATTTTGTTTTATAGGGAAAATGTGACTGAAAGAGCAGTACAGTTGGATGAAGATACAAGGCTTTGAAAGTGGGGAGGGAAAGGCAAGGCTTTAAGAGACTCTGGGGTGGTGCTTGAGAGTGCAAGGGGCAGAATGGCTGAAAGCTCACCCACCGATGGTGAGGTGGGATTGGGCAGGAGAAAGTGAAGCAGAACCAACCCAGGTCCCACGACATACAGAACCATGCCTTGTGAGAAGGCTCACATCGCTGCTTTATTTACAAGGTGGCAAACACATTCGCTGCCACCTTGTCCACTGAGAGTAGATTCAGTGGATTTCCCTTCAGTTTGTTGAATGAGGATATACAACACAGCTGCTGACTGAATGCATTCAGGGCAAAGACATTTCAAGCCAATTGCGAAGGATAATAGGGCAAGAAATCAGACAATCTAGCCAGAGAGAGCCGGAGTTTGCAGCAGGTTACAGCAGAGGTCAGGAAAGGAGAGATTTGCTCAAATTGAAGACTGCATTATTCATGATCACTCAGACGCCACTCTGCCATAATCACCCAACCTGAAGACATTATAAAGGGAGGAATTCTTGATTTTTACCAATCAGCAAGGTTACAATGTATTTTAATCATTCTCTCGATGCATTTATCAAGAGGCGCTGGACTGGAATACAAAAGATAAATCAGTGAGTGTATGGTTATATGGGTGCACAGGAAGCCCTGTGGCGTTTTCATTAGAGCACGAGGACCTGAGTTTGATTCCTGGGAGGGTCAAAACCTTAGGTGAGTTTCCTTACTTCACATGCCTCTGTTTACCTAGCAGTAAGTAGGAACCTGGTTGTTAGTCGATTGGCAGATTGCTTTCCAGGAGCAATAATCCCTTCATTGAAATAAAATAATAATAATAATTTGATCACTCAATGCACAACTATTTGTGGGACACTGCTCTGCGCAATTAGCTGCTGTGTTTCGCCCACAGAATATACAATTAATTCACTTTGCAGTATATTCTGTGAAGCGTTTTGAGACATCTCATGACGTGATAAGGTGCTGATATCAAATGCAAGGGTTATTATTGTACGAGTTGAATATTTTATCGGAGCCAGACTGTGCAGTTTGTATTCACCTGCAGCCTAAACACATGCTCACAGAAACTGGGCAGTGTAATTTGTGTGGCACAGTCCTTGGCAGCGGCACTTCCGACTACAAATCTACACAGTTTAATACACTATGAGATGACAAGTTCATTGTTAAAAGTAGGGATCGACCAGTGGACAATTTCCTTTGCTGCGTTTAGTGATTGTTTTTTCATATTGGGATTCAAGGCGCTACATAAATGTAACTTGTTGCTGCTGTTGTCAGTGTTGTGGAAACAAAGTTAAAATGGCCACACACAAAAAAAAAAAACTTTCCTTGGAAATAGTTAACATTACAGACATAAATCTGTAAATGTAAAGCAAGGTATAACCAAATCCAGTTCTTGTGAGCTCAGAAAATGCACCAGAATGAAGGACAGAATCTTACCCCACCACTGTTCCAAGCCTTTGTTAGTGAAGCCTGGGCTTTAGGCAGGGTGGCGTCTGTCAAGATTTTCCCATTGACAGCCATTATCTGATCTCCTTTCACTATTCCACCTAGAGAAGAAAGTTAGAAAGAGCCATAAATATGTTATTTACAGACGATAAAGAATTTGGATCATTTCACAGCAACACAGCATGATAACACCAGCTTGCATTTATACAGCACTCTTCACGTAGCACTTCAAAGAGGTGAGGTCAGATACTGAGCAAAGGAGAAGGGAAGAGGTGACTATAGGTGAATTCAAAGATATTGTTTTTAAGGCGGATTTAAAACAGATAGAGAGTGGTCGAGGCAGAGGCCTGTGAGCTGAAGATGGGGATAGTGACTGAAGGCTGGGCCACCGATAATGGCAAAGAGGGCACCAGATGACATATATCAAGACCTGCTGGGTGCTAGGGTGTGAACGGATTTATTGGTGAAGGCAAGGACCTTGTCTGACAAAGGATGCAACATGCACACAAGCCCAGCCCTTAGATGGTTCAAATAAGAATTCAGTCCAATGCTTCTCAATCCCTCCACTTCAGTTCTCTTGCGCTCCTCAAGTCGGTGCATCATCTTAGTGCAATCAAGACTCTTACAACACAAATCGGTAAGATAATCTGATCTGCATCGTATGATCTTAAATAATCCTTGCATTTGATATACCATCTTAACATTGGTGTTGTCGAGACTTCTCAAAAGCATTTCACAGGAAATTATTGTAAAGTGTAGTGACTGGGTATTTGTAAGTGAGCAGAAGAGCCAATTTTCACAGCCATGTCCTACAAACAGCCAGGAAGTGAAAGACCAATTTTATTTGGGGATGGTTGGCCAGATCACTGGAAAAAAATCACCAGCTGTATTCCTGACCACTCTCCTCTCCTTAGATGGATGTTACCTTGAAGAGAGAACCTGGCAAAAAAAATGTCCTGTGTCCAATTGGAGTGTGTGTGTGTTCGGGGAGTAGAACGAAAGCTCAGTGCCCTCTGGGGCTGATATAGAGAATGTCAGAACAGCTCTGCAGTGCAAAGCGGCAACTACATGTAGCCCACGCACCAGCATTGTAGCAACCGAAACACCAGCTGAGGAAGATATTTTAGCGGAGGCGTCAAGGACTCTTGGATGTGTAAGCTGCATCTTTAGAGTTTTATTCAATATACTGCTCAGAAATGATTTAGTCATAATAACTACTACACTGCCTACCAAATATAGCACTGATTTATATGCGAGCATTTCTTGGACGCTCACAACACTGTATTCGGTTACGTGTAACTTGACCTCGCTCAGCTGTTACACTGCAATCAACAGGAAGCAGAAAAGTAAAAGCGTCATTAGCGGTAATGATCTCTGAGGCATCACCTCGCTCACGGGGGCTGAGTAGTCACCTGATGCTTTTTTTTTCTCTCTCGTGACCCGGGACATCTGATCACGTTTCCTATTCAAAGCCATGATTTGGATTACTCAACAATCCCAAAGCAGCTCCAAGAAATGCCAGAGTTTTAAACTATTACCCCTTAGTACTTAGTACACAAATGCCTGTATATGTGGGAGGAGGGGGCGGGAGGCATTGGGAGGAATTGGGTTGAATTCTCAACTGAGCGCGTGAAGGATCGGGCTTGAGTGGTTTCCTTGGAAACTTGCTTGCACCTTGAATACTTCCCGTTACTTGATTACTTCCCACTTTCTAACCCACTCCTCAGGGGTCTCCCTCCCTCCACCATTTATAAGTCCCAAGTCATATAAGCTCCACCACCTGCATTATCACACTCCACTGGCTCCCTGCAGATATATTTCAAGGTCCTCACACTCACATTCACACTCACACTCACCCTCTACATCCTGTACCTCCTTACCTCCCAATCTTCTCCTACCCCACTGCTCCGCTCGGCTAACTTGGACATGTTGCACGTCCTCTGTTCCCTTCTGTGCTGTCTTTTTATGATATCTGGTTTAGGTCCAGTTAAAATTTGAATCGATCCAGGAACTAAAGTTTGAATGTTGCCTGCCTCACGGTTTGTTACAATGTGTGCATGTTATTCAGTCAATGTTGCCTCGATCATCTATCGGGAGCAATGGTAGGGGTTGCAAGAATTAATCGAAAGGCCCGCAATGCAGAGACTTCCATCACTACTCTCACACCATCTGCAACACTAACCTGATTTAATCCCTGCGAAAAGGAGCGACACACAGACTGCACAATCATGAAACACAATGTTAAAGAGTGAGCTTTGGTTCACACCTCTACCTCTCCACCCCTTGGACTGAAAGGATTATTTACACTGCATTTATAGAGTTCCTGAATGGCATTTCCCCCTTGGCGCTCAGTGCTACCTGCTGCTCCCTTCTGCTAGCAATGTGAAATGATCCTTAAAGTGGATGTCAAGGTTTTATGCACCGACTGGGCACGCTGGAGAGTGTTTTCAGTGCATGGGAAAGGAACCTCACCATGCTTGTCTGCTGCACCACCTTCGTAGATCCCAGACACCACCACCTTCCCAATTGGAGACTGAACACCTCCTTCCACTGCGAGGTCCAGCGGGCCCTCCTGTGTAAGAGGAACATGATCGGGTCAGTCTGGAGATCAATTGCCACTGAACTACAACAACTTGCATTAAAATAGCTCCCTTCACATGGGATAGCATCAACATGATGTTATCCCAGGATAACTAACTTACTTTAACACCTGCTGCCAGAAAGCAGAGCCTGACAAGAAGTGGGATGATTACAAACCAAAGTAACATCTTAGACCAGCTCTCAAGGGTTCACTCAGCCAACCATTGCTTGTGACTGAAAGTGTCATTAAATTCAACACCTAAAGTGCTTTAGCAATTATTTCAAAACCTTGAAGAATCAGTCTCAAAAAGTTTTACCTCGCTTTAATAGACAAGACTAGTAACTTGGACAAACTGCAAAAGTATGCTCTTAGTATGGATTCAACTAAACTTCTGAAGTTAATCTTCCATAGACATAAAATACAGTTATTTGCTCAATAATAGCTCTGATCCAGGTGTTCATGAGAAGCTTAAATTTACTCATTGATTTTTTTCTCAATTCAGATCATCATTCAACTGTACAGCTGGGGTTCAGCTGTAGTTTTTAGATTTATACGGAGCATAAACACTTAATGCCTTGTTTCCATGTTGTACAACGAATGTAAACTTTGGAAAATGAACAAACCAGTTTCAAAGTTGGCAAGAGCCAAAGTCTGGGATCTTAGAGTGTGTGTTGGGATAACCGCTGGAGTTTTAATCAGCTAAAGCCATGCAGTTTGCTATTGCGAACATTGACCAGCAAGCTTTGCACTGCTAGGACCACTCTATCCACTAGTATGGCTGCAAGGGTTAACAGTACAGTCATTCTTATCACCTTTTTAATTCTCAAGAGGCGTACATCTCTTCCAGCAATCTGGTCTGAGGTGAACTGGAAGGAAATTATAATTTACATTAATATCATCCATCAAGCCGCAATGTCAGTACTCAGCATACATAATTTATCATAATAATTAATAAGTATTTCCCGCTGTGAAGTCCAATTGGTTGGGAACTCTGGACATGTGTAACCCTCTGCTGAATGGCCTCGCACACTGGTTACCTTAGTATAATGTTATTAAAGGAGCCAGCCACAAGACTAGTTCTGAAAAGAATTAAGCTCACTCTTTTTACACTAAGAACCTCTAATCTTCCATTCCCCAACCCCACTCAAGGCATCAATTAGATTCCAGAGCTCTGGAACCATCAATGCCCCTAAACCGTATCTTGCCTTCACACTTTTAGCAGAAAGGAAATTATAGCAAATCAGCAGTAAATGTCAAGCTTAAATGGCCCTGTTCATCTGGAAGTAAACTATGCTGTGAGCAACGGTTTGGATCAAGTGTTAATTACTGAATGACACTGGATGAGATGCGAGTTTGCAATCTGAGGAATTAGCTTCACAGTGCAAAGATTAATTTCTTTGCTAATGTTGACAGGGTGGGACAGATTATTTTGCTTCACAGCAACAAAATTACATTTGTAAAGTGCCTTTCACGTTGGGTTTACGTCCCAAGGTGCTGAACAGTCGGGGATCAGGACCGAGCGTAGGGGGGACAGGTTTGGATTGAGCGAAGGCAGAGAGGTAGGAAGGTGGCTGAAGGCACGGTCGAAAAGGAGGGTCTTAACTTGTGCCTTGATTGAGGTAAGGGAGAGAGCAAGGCGAAGGGACTGTGGGATGGATTACCAAGGGTAGGAGCAGAGAGGCTGAAAGCCCAGCCACCAATGGTAGGGCAGGTTGGGCGGGAGACATGGAGCAGGCTGGAGCCTGCTGAGCAGAGGGACCAGTCAGGATGATAGGGGTCAGAGATGTGGGGTGGGGTAGGGCCATGGAGGGCCTTAAAGGTGAGGATGAGGATTTTGAATTCTATCCTCTGAGGGATGGGGAGCCAGGGGACAAGGGTGGGTGTGATGGGGTCACAGAGCCTGGTGCAGGAGAGATCATGAGCTGCAGAGTTGGTGAGGTGGAGTGTGCATCTGTGGATGCTGATACTGCCAAGGCCTGAGGTGCGGAGGCACTGGTGTGAGCCAATCAGGAGGGCCTCAGTCTTGCTGACATTCAGCTGTAGAAAGTTGGCTCTCATCTAGGACTTGATGCCTGACAGTCTGTCAGGATGTCAGTTGTACTGGAATCGAGAGTGGAGGCAGAGAGATACAGTTGGGTGTCATCTGTATACATGTGGAAGTTGACCCCATGTCTGCAGATGATGTTACCAAGTGGGAGCATGTAAAGATTGAAGAGGAGGGGACCGAGGACAGAGCCCTGGGGAACACGAGACTGTGCGGGGGCTGGAAGAGAAACCGTTGGTGGAGACAAATTGGAGATGGTGTGAGAGATAAGACCTGAACAGAACCTTGAAGGTTGAGGTGAGAGGAGAGGCAGTGGAGGAGGATGGAGTGGTCCACGGTATTAATAATAATAATAATCCTTGCATTTGATATAGCGCTTTTCACGTCGGGAGGACGTCCCAAAGTGCTTCACAGAACACACTGTAAAGTGAATTGACTGTATATTTGTGGGCGAACGCGGCAGCCAATTGCGCACAGCAATGTCCCACAAACAGTCGTGGATTGAAAATGACCAATTTATTATTGTTTTGGGTTTTGGAGGGATTATTATTAGGCATGTAGAGTAAGGAAAGTTGCCCAAGGTTTCGCCCTGCCTGGAATTGAACCCAGGTCTCTCACTTGCAAAGTGAGTGCTCTAACCACAGAGCTACAGGACTCCTCAAGGCATTGAAGGCAACAGAGAGATTGAGGAGGACCAGGAGGCAGAAGGAGCCTGGGTCACAGCTGGACAGGATGTTGTTCGACACCTTGACCAGAGCAGTTTCCGTGCTGTAAGCAGCACAGAAACCCGATTGGAGGGGCTTGTGAAGGGAACGGTAGGAGAGGAATGATTGAAGCTGGGAAGCAACAACTCTTTTAAGGACCTTGGAACAAAAAGGGAGGTTGGAGATGGGCTGGTAGTTAGAAAGCATGGATGGAACCAGGGAAGGTTTTTTCCACTTCCACCTGCTTTTAATGACTGCAGAATAGATTTGTGCGGAAACATTTGGACCTTGCTTTTAACCTATGTGTAATTTGACCTTGAGTCAGGCATCAAGAAGGGTGACAGACAGGCATCAGCAAGGGTAATGAATGCCTAAGTGAGGAAGGAGAAAGCCCTACGAAGCACGTTTACTTACATTCAAATGTGACACTTTACCCATACTGAACTCAGTTGGCACTTAAGAGGACATTACAGAAAATAATGGGATTGACATTTAACAGAGGGTTAGGAGAGCAAACAAAACCCACAATTGTTTGACCCTCAACTATTCTTTCTACCCCACATCTGCACCATGACCCGCTCTACCTTCCTCCACCTCCTCAACATTGCTCGGCTCCGACACTGTCTCACATCGCAGGCCGTCGAAAACCTCATACATGCCTTCATTATATCATGGCTCGACTATGCAAACTCACTACTTGTTGGCTGCCCCAACACCTCCCTCCACAGACTCCAGATCATCCAGAACTCTGCAGCCCATATCCTCCCTCACACTAGGCTCCACATCCCTACCTCCCCCATCCTTGCCCAACTCCACTGGCTTCCCATCACACAGAGGCTACAGTTCAAAATTCTGGTCCTCACCTTCAAAGCCCTCCATGGACTTGCTCCCCCCTACCTCTCCAACCTCCTAACTTCCTACCACCCTGTTGGTTTCCTCCGCTCCACGGTCTCCGGCCTGCTTCACGTCCCCCACCTTGCTCGCCTCACTATCAGTGAGCGGGCCTTCTGCCACTCTGCACCCACCCTCTGCAACTCTATCCTGCAGTCCCTCTGTCTCGCCCCCTCCCTCGCCATATTCAAGACCCACCTCAAGACCCTCCTCTTCGACCGTGCTTTCATTCTCCCTGCTCCGTCCCCTGCCCTCCACCCTCCCCCACCCCGACCTTCAGCTCGGGTCTGTAACTTTGTCTCTCCAGTGCCTTGGGACGTCCTCCTGATGTGAAAGGCGCTATGCAAATGTAATTTTGTTTTGTTGTTTCTGACCAGAATTTGTTTTTGGTCATTATCTAGATGAAGAATAGATTTGCGTCTGAACCATTTTCTGCAGCGTTTTGTGGAGTACTGTAGCTCAGTGGTTACAGCACTCGCTTTGCAAGCAACAACAACAACAACAACAACAACATTCCATTTATAGAGCGCCTTTCACGTCAGGAGGACGTCCCAAGGCGCTGCACAGTTGGGTCATGACCCGAGCAGGGGGAAATGGTCAGGGTGAGGGGAGGGAAGGGAGGGAGAGAGGAGGGGGAAATGGTCAGGGTGAGGGGAGGGAAGGGAGGGAGCGAGGAGGAGGAAGAGAGTCGAGAGGGGAGCTGAAGGCACGGTCAAAGAGAAAGGTTTTGAGACCGGCCTTGAAGGAGGAAAGGGAGGAAGCAAGGCGAAGGCACTGGGGGATGGAGTTCCAGAGCCGCGGGGCTGAGAGGCTGAAGGCCCGACCACCGATAGTAGGGCGGTTGGGGCGGGGGACGTGGAGCAGACCGGAGCCAGAGGAACGGAGGGTACGGGCAGGTAGGTAGGGGGATAGTAGGTTGGAGAGGTAGGAGGGAGCAAGGCCGTGAATGGCCTTGTAGGTGAGGATGAGGATCTTGAAATCAATCCTCTGGGGGATGGGGAGCCAGTGGAGGCGAGCGAGGGTAGGAGTGATGTGGTCCCGAAGCCTGGTGCGGGACAGTACACGAGCTGCAGAGTTCTGAATGACCTGCAGCTTGTGGAGGGAGGTGCCGGGAAGGCCGGCGAGGAGAGAGTTCCCATAGTCCAGCCTTGAGGTGACAAAGGCGTGAACCAGGGTTTCAGCAGCGTGAGGGGTGAGGTAGTGCCGTAATCTGGCGATATTCCGGAGGTGATGGAAGGCGGTGCCAGTTGTGGTGCGGATGTGAGGGAGAAAGGACAGCTCAGGGTCGAACAAAACGCCGAGGTTCCTGACTGGCTTTGAGAGGTGGAGAGTGCAGCCTTGGATGCTGATGGTGTCAGCGCCTGAGGTGCGGAGGCGCTGACGTGAGCCAATCAGGAGGGCCTCGGTTTTTCGCACGTTGAGCTGAAGAAAGTTGTCTCTCGTCCAGGACTCGATGTCGGACAGGCAGCTGTCAGGACATCGGTGGTCGTGGAGTTGAGAGTAGAGGAGGAAAGGTAGAGTTGGGTGTCATCCGCATACATGTGGAAGTTAACCCCATGTTTGCGGATGATGTCACCGAGGGGGAGCATATAGAGGGTGAAGAGGAGGGGACCGAGGACAGAGCCCTGAGTTCAATTCCAGGCAGAGGGCGAAACCTTGGGCAAGTTTCCTTACTCCACACAGAGCCTAATAATAATCCCTTCAAAACCCAAAACAATAATAAATTGGTCATTTTCAATCTACGACTGTTTGTGGGACATTGCTGTGCGCAATTGGCTGCCGCGTTTGCCCACAAATATACAGTCAATTCACTTTACAGTGTGTTCCGTGAAAAGCAAGGATTATTATTATTATTATTTTTAAGCCATGTTTATTTCCTCCACATTGCACAATCCATTCAACCTGCTCTGAATCACCTCCCACTCCCCAATCCTAACCAAAAGGGAACATGATCAGCCATAATTCTCATTTTGTTCCTCTTCAGTGTATCCACTCCAGGTTCGGGAGAGAACTGGCATTGGCTCAGGTGCACTCCATGGTTCAATGATACAATAATCCCAAGGGCATGGAATTCCACCTTATGTCAGCCAGTGCAAACATTTTTGCTTTCAAATATAAAACAAAGAACTGCAGAAAATCCTCCATTCAATTTGAATTCAGAAGTGTTTTTTTTCACAATTTGCAAAATGAATTGGTATCTAAATTATTAATAATAATGATAATCTTTTCATTTGGTAGAACTGAGACCGAAAGGGTTTACCACAATTCTGAATATCTTATATTTCACACAAAATCGCAGACTAAGACTGGGTGAAATTTCATGCCTTTAGTGTCTGCTCTCACACGTGAAAATAACCTTGGGATGAGGTAGATAGAAAATTTTCAGTACTTATGTTGAGAGCTACCAGTGCCCGTGACAGTGTGTGAGATAAATGGGGAATAGAAAGGAATAAACAAAGTGTTTGTTGTGCAGTTAAAATTGGCGCAATGAGTTGGTGCACAGAGACAGTTCAAAGAATGGATCAATAAAGAAACAGACACTGTAATAACAGATATTACCTGCTCCACTGAGCACAGAAGGTTAAACCTGTAATTATAATACAAACATGATACTCAGTTGGAAAGAACTGCATAAACAGCTTATGCAGCTTATTTATAGGAGTCGTCTCTCACCCCCTTGTCATATTGCGCGGGAGATAACTTCTCCGTGCCTTGTTATTTTATGCATTACTCACCATGGAATAAGGATCAAAATCCTCCACATATTTCTGGAAGCCCTGCAACAAGGAACCAAATCAGGTTAAATTTTACATTGGACCATTTAAAGGCCCCAATTCGGACATAGTAGAAGCAGTTTGGTGCAATAACAAATCAAGGTGTAACATGGTCTGATCGCCGGTGAGTTCACTAACTTTGGTGCAATTAAAAAACACCAAAAAAACATTATTTGCCTTGTATTAATTGCTTCTTAAAAAACATTATTTGCCTTGTATTAATTGCATTTGCTGCACATGCAAGCACTCAAAATGAGATCAGCTCCTTCCCCATTAATCATTGTCTGTGTTAACACAGTATCGAGAGTTGCACTTGAATCCATAAGTAATGAAAAGCAAGCTTTTTGTCTTTTAGCATTGGCGGAATAATGGGCACTATCAATACTACAGCAAAGGATTTATTGTCACTTATTAAGTACAAAACCCAGTAAGTTTAGTTACATTGAATATCCCCGAGGGTTATTATACAAATCGGCTTCTACCAAACACAATTCAGACAAGGGAAAGTGCACCAGAGATCTTAATAAGATCTGAAACCAGAGGCCCCGAATTCACCATAGTCACCAACTTAAGGCCATTTGTTTAAGGCCGTGCAGAAGTTTGGAGAAGTTTAAAATTCAATCCTGATTTGGAAGATCTTGAAAGAACTGTGGAAAACCGATATCCAAATTGAGACCAAATTGAAGAATTCTGCATCATCTTAACCAAAAAGACAGTAGTCTTTAACGTTGAGTCTGTGAGCAGTTCTGGAACTAGGACTATGGCGCACCCTCCAACTGAAGGCTTGTAGCTGTTTTAATTGGTAAAGAAAGGATGAACTTGCCCATATCCTCCAGTGCGCTGCTCTTCATCAACCGAGATTCCACCTGTCAACCAAAACCAGACGTGCGGGAAAACAAGAATCATAGCCTTTCACAACTGGAGACATGACCAGTTTAATGTCTCAATTGTCTCAGTGAATAGGAGTTAAGCGAGCAACTTAGCTCATGTCCACATAGAGCAATTGGTTTATCTGACTAAAAGCCTGAAATTACATTTAAGTCTTAGCTTGTGAAATCTTTTTGCCTTAGAATTTAAGTTGGTCAGAATTGTGGAACACTCAAATTCAGTCTGGTTTGGAAACTGGTTTGCTTTTTAAGAACTGCAGAAAACCAGCTTCTAAATTGGGACTGGTTTTAAGAATTATCCGCAAGTCTGCAATTTAAATGGTCATACAGGCTAAGACTAAGTTGGATTTCAGTCCTCAAGTTTAAATGAATTTGAATTCAAACAAAATGATGCATTCATACTCTCCACAGGGATCACTGATCATTTAAGGTCATTTCACATTCACTGTAGCTCATGAAAAATTGCTAGAGTCTTGCAATTCTTTTGAAATCTCCTCACATTTGATTTGATAAAACAAATTAAGGGAGGAATACCCTTATTCAGTCTTGCATTTGCAAAATAAAATACATATTCCCCTACTCTTCTACTTCACAATTTCACCTCAGCATATCAGACATGGAAGGAGAATGGATCCCACTACTGTAATGGGGACGATAACTGCTGCTCATAATATGTCTCCAAGGATTATTTCACCTCCGAAAAGTTGAGGTTAATAAAATGTTCATAACAAGTTGTTGGCCTTTCCGCTATAGTTAATCTAAATCGATCTTCTCCAGTGTTATAATAATATTTCTTTCATTTGTTATTGCATTTACTGCATTTGAAATGTCTCCAAGTGTTTCACAGGATTCACTGTAAAGCGATTGCATTTTGTAGGCAAACAGGACAGCCAATTTGCACACAGGGTCGTCCACAAACATTCATGGAGTGAATAATCAATTATATCTATGATAGCGTTGGCCAGGACACAAGGAGAATCTTGCTTCTCTTCAAATAGTGCCATGGGATCTTTAACATCCACTTAAACAGTCAGACAGGACCTCTAAATTGAAGGAAGTCACCTCAGACCATACAGCCTACCCCAGCACTGCTTTGCAGTGTCAAACTGGACTATGAGCTCCAAGTCCTGACTGGGGCTTGAACCCATAATCTTGTGACTCAGAGGTTTTGTGTGTAACCAATTGAACAAGGCTGTTACACGAGTTACATGGAATTCAACTCGCACTTCAAGCAAGTGATATATATCTTAGGCATGTACAACCATCATCACAACATCTCAACACACTAGTGGTGCTGGATTAGGAAGAGTTAGGAAATAGGCATGTGGAACAAATGACTATTTTAGGATCAAGGAAAGAGTTGCTGGAATTTGAAAGGACACAGGTGCTTGTGAAACACCAGAAGGTATTGATTCAGATCAAGGCAAGAGTGGAAAGCTCAACAATATAATTGATTAGATGATGAGATGCTTGGGTCGAAGGAATCTTTCAGAAAGTTGGACGGCCAACTAGATGGTCTACTCCTGCTACTCAAAATGCAATTGACGTCAGGATCTGCAATGAGGCGTATGCCAGCACTGAACACACACACACACTAAACACACAGCCAAGCCCAGTAAAGCCGACCAGAGTAATACACAATCAGCCACTTCAGCCTCAGCAACGGCAATGGTTAGGAACTGAGAACACGGATGCAAAAAACAGCTCTGTGCAAGGCGGACGGAGCCAGATGGAACACGGAAAGAATCAAAGCAGTGGCGATATGCATTGCTGGTTATTTACATGCTTTCCTCTAGATCGAAATGATGAATTGTAGACCACCATCCGCTTTAGCATCTCTGGTTGCTGTGAAGGGAGGAACATGGTAATGCTTTACATCGACCGGTTTCGATATATGTAGTTTAGTCACAGAATCCGAGAAGGTTGGGGCCGAAAGCTTCTCCGACCTTAAACATAAAGAGGCAAAATGCCCGACCTCTCCCCGGAATTCATTGCTTTTCCCAATTTCCCAATTGCAAAGATCTGAAAATTTGCCACTTGCTGTTTTTGAAATTATTATTCAATTGTTAGTAGTTCATTATAATTATTTAATTATTAGTAGTTAATAAAAGCAACTTGTGTGTTGCACAGTATGAGATCTATAACTGCCAGTGCAGCCAGTGTACAGTTAATCCACTTTCAACACAGCTTCTGAGATTCTCTGCCTGTTACAAACAGTTTCAAGCCTTTTAAATAACAAATTCCAATTGACTGCAGACCTAATAGAACAAGCGATTTACTGCAGCAATGACAACATGTGGAGCAATGACAACTGATGATACATTTCACCCCCAAAAGTTTACTAAATCAGAGGCATCATGTTTGTACATTGACAGAACCTGCCTCGGGTGTGAAAGATTCAGTGAAATTATTTCACCGGCCAAGTGGCGCACTTTATGTATGGGGTTAGTCGTAGAGGCAAGACAGAGATTCAAATCAATGTTGAAAGCTTTCTTCCATACTCAACTAAAGAGATCCGATAAATGGGAGCAGTTGACTCATTCATTAGCGATTGCTGCAAATTGCTCATGCTGCCTTTTCTGCAAACACAATCCAAGGGAACCACCGTTCAGAACAATCATTTGGTTTTACCGTACTGTGTTGGAACCTTGAGCTTACAGTCTAGACTGACACTCCAGTGCAGAGCTGGGGGAGCACTGCATTGTCAGAGGTGAAGTCATTCGGATGTGACTAACTTGAGGCACCTGTCTGCCTATTCAGATGGAGATTAAAGCTCTTATTAGTAATTTAATAATGTTATTAGGAAAGAGAAAGGGGTTTCTCCCAAGTCAACAAATCTCTCAGATAAAAAATGATGATTCAATTCATTGCTGTGCTCAAATCAGCTGCATCCACCTATAAAAAACAGTCGCTACACTTTACAGAACAAAACCCGCTGTGAAGTGCTTCAAAGATATTTAGGCATTTTGGGGACTGAATCAAATATAAAGATTATTATTTGTGCAGCTGAATCCTGTTAATAACTCCCTCAGTAAGGCGCTGCCAATATAACAAAATTGTCATGTTTTGTGAGCTTTTTTCCGTAATGAAAAAATAAGTGTATTTCTTAACAAAGTGCCTCAACAGAAATACAGCTTCGCTTTCCCTCAGGGATGTGACTTGCCTTGTTATTTAAGTGTAACAGTGAGATAAAAGCGAACAGAATTAAAGTGAAGACTCGCTGGGGGTCAAGAGAATCTGAAAACCTCCTACTGGGGAAAATTCCCAAATTCACCAAAGTGCAACCGTAACACAAACAATGTGGACTCTGAGAGACCTGCACTATTTATAAACAGCAACTCCTTATATTAATAAAAAACTGCACCAAGTCCCAACAATAGTGCTGTCATTCCTGTTACACGCATGGATGCTCCTAAGCAAAGCTTTGTCCCTCTGGACATGGAGATAGGACATCCTATTCATGCTGGAATCCATGGACAGGCAGATAAGATGCCTCTGTTCAGGTTTCACTGCCATTGAATTTCAAGCCCACGCCTGAATGCTCTCCTTGCAGCCTTTGTACTGCAACCAATTTCAGTAGGTGCTGCTTTGTGGCACAGCTTTACTGGAGCACCCCAGCGCCCTGCAAAAGGGTTCGGGGAAAGTGCAGGGAATTGAGAATAGAGGATCTGGCTCCACTGCAAGCGTTATGAGCTGCTTATGGGCTGAATGGCCTCCTTCCTATGACTGTACACAAAGTGTCACAGAATGGGAAGGTGTGGATTCACACATTTAAAATATAATAATATTCCTTGCATTTGATATGACACCTTACACATCAGGAGGACATCTCAAAAGACAGAGGATTTACTGCAAATTGTAGTGACTGTACTTCATAGGCGAACGCAGCAGCCAACTTGGGCCACAGCAACGTCCCACAAACAGTCGTGAAGTGAGTCATCAATTTTATCTGGGGGATTGTTGGCCAGGACAATCCCAAAATCCCAAAATCAGAGGGTTGCTGTGTTTGAATACAGCCAAAGTCAGAAAACCCAAATGTGAAAGGGATTCAATCCACAGCACGAGAGCAGTTGGAGAACATCCAACTGCAGTAATCTTCACCATTAGGAATTGTAA